ATTATTTTACTTGGTACAAAGTGTGCATTCCTTATGGATGAAAATAGGTACGATGGGAGTAAGTGTCCCATGGTTTATCCAATGGATCACACTGCTCTAATAGCTTCAGTATTAGTAAGCTGATGTCAGTTTAGGTCTATTGAATATGATACATATCACAAAAGGAATAATTATAGATCTTGTAAAATAGAAATTGTATAACATCACTAACTATTATATGGTTAGGGATAACATACAACCAATTGCGAAGCTTGACAGCTCTAATTTTGAGATTTATTTATTGAAGCTCGATAGTATTGATCATTTTAATGGAAACTAAAAAGTTTTCGATTATTTAAAGCGAATTTGATCTACCTGAGTTGGCGAGGAGCCTACGCAACCAACTTCAGCTAAAGCTCTTATATGCTCCGAATCTCAGGGACGCATATATGTATATTTAACCAATTATATAATATTAATAATTATATTAACTTAACTGATTGTGTTGAAGAAAAATAAATTTGGATGTATTATATATACCTACCTATATATAATACTAATAAAAATATGTCTGCATAAATGTATCCTAATTTATATAGGCATGAAGACTTCCAAAACTGAATTGATTACACAACTTTGTAAAATAATTAAAATAATTTGACTTCAATTAATCTGCAAGGGGAGAACTAAGCTACTGTATGGTACACTCAAAATGGGTATACCCATCTCTGGCTGCTCCAATTGCATCACTCAATGGTTACAGGGTAGCAAACAGACAACAGCAAAGCAAATACAAACACGATGCAGAAAAAAGCCACGAAGGCGACACACAATTTGCATTAGGAAAACGCCAACTGGTTTGCCTCGGACTTTGTTTGGTCCGTGCTCGGTCCAGGCAACACAGCGAAATACGCTGACCCTGCGGCCTTTACACCTGCCCATGGGGCCACAACACAGCGGTTGCTGCACTTGTCTCTCTGCCATTGAAATAGCAGCGAGAGCGCAGTGCATTCAGTATCCAGAAATGAATTTACAGTATGCATAAATCTTAATGTATTTAAAGGAATGAAGCATAGAAAGTGGACTCATTTTGTGCTTCCCCTGCATATCAGTGTCGATAAATGACAATTAGTCGAGGGCATTTAATTTATACGTGAGTGAAAGCTAAAACATGTAAAAATATTCAATTGGTAAGCCCAAAAATCAATAAACTAATGGGCCAAGCGCTTCCAGCTAAGCGCAGCTGACAGACGAGAAGAAGAAGAAGCAGCAGCAGCAGCATTTGCAGTGAAAAAGTGCCGAAAGCACCGCCCACCGTGACACGCCCATTCACGCCCAACACCTGCCTAATGACGATGAGCTGATAATGGCATTCATGTTACCTGCGGTTCACTGCGTTTGCATTCGCTGCAAAAGAACTAGAGAGAGAGGGAAAGAGAGAGAGGGAAAGAGAGATGGGATGTTGCTGTTGCTAGCAATGCAGCTATTGCTGCTCCCGCCGCTCCTGCTGCTGCTGCTCCTCCTGCTAGCTACTAATGCCTTTACAGCAACATTTGCGCAGGTATTTGTGCATCGAAAATGTAAAATTCCGCTGTGGGATGCGAGGCTCGCAATTGAAATTTAGCATTTGACCTCTTCACTTAAATTCAACGGCAGTCAAGGCTTTGCAAACGGCCTTTCACTGTTTGCATACCCTAACAGAGAAATGCATTGGATAAAAGGATCCAGCAAAAAATATTTCCGAGTCGAACATTTGGTAAATGAACTTTATATTCCCTAAAGTTTTACTGATTGTAATTTATGAGTAAAGTAGAAAAACTGCTCAATGAATTGCATAGGAAAAGGCTAAGATATCTTTTGGTGGAATGTATTTAATTGGTATGAGCTTTGCCATTATGAGCAAAAAAATTCAAATTGTGCTTTAAGAACTCAACATTTCATAAGTCACATGCTTACATTGTCAAGGATACAGCGCTAACCTGATACCTGATACCTGACACTTATTTCTAGAGTTGATGGTAAATCAATTGAGATATTCAACAGTAACTAATTGGTTATTATGATTCTTCGAATGAATGGAATGGATTCAACTCTTAATATACATTTTCAGCCAACACGTAGAAGAAGTACTCAGGAACCTACATTAATGTAAAAGCCAAAAGTTACTAAGTTCCAAGACTGTGGAAATCCCTGTGTATTTTAGATATGCGCCAACCTCAAAATAAGTAGTAATTTTTTTATTCAGAGTAGATAATTTTAAGTAGATGGACTAATTAATCTGATTAACAAAATTACAAATTACAACAGAATTTATGTAATACCAGAAATAGTATTTCCCAATTTGCCAGACCGACCCCTAGTAGGCGTATCGAGGAAATCTTATTATTTAATCAGGAGAAGGTACACAGGTATAAATATATTTCAAGTGTGGGTCTCTAGAAAAAGGATTTGTGATCAAACAGACTAACAAAACCCACATACTCATACATTTCGTGTAAACCGAGAATAATTGGCACAAATAATATATATATTTAGAGCTTAAACTAGACATGTATCGTTGAAAAATCATATGCAGAAGGTGCTACCCACAATCCCAGATGGAGTTCGTAATCAATATTTGTAGAGCTGAAACGGCCTAGCGAGTACTCAGAATGTATTTATACTATATATGTATATCATTGTCTTGATTTTTCGATTGATCTACTGGACATGAATTATTGATTAAGCTCAAATATATTTAGAGCTTAAACTAGACATATCCAAAAGGTGCTACAAAATATCCGAGATGGGACAAAACCAGAAAACTCTTTTAACTCTCCACTAAATTGGTGAAATAAATTATCTTTCACATGAGTTAGCCAGGCCTTAAACAAATTAAGAGCGGAGTTTGCTCTGCGACAAGGCACAGTCGACTATTTGGATACAAATTATTGCAGCTGTCAACATGGCAGACAGTTAATATCCAGCATCTGGGATGCGGGCTGTCAAAACACGAGCGCTGAATTTATGCGCCAATTCCATGAGTTTCAAATGAATGTTGCGTAGCTTCGCTTTATTTACTGTTGCTGCAGCTGATTACTGTTGCTGTTCTATATGTATGTGTGTGCGTGTGCATGTGTGTTGGTGTATATATGTTTTTGGAAATATATGTGCTGACCCTATTTGCCATTTTGGTAAGCTCACTGGCATGGGCTGTGTCTGTTCCTTTCACGTGTCTCTGTATGTATGTGTGTGTATACTCGTGTGTGTACGTGGGTGTGTTGCCACAACTCAGTCTTGCATTGGGTTTGTTGCTTTTCATCGGCCACAAATGCAGCTGCATCTGCTAGCCATACATTTGTTGGAATACATTTCGGGCTATTGTCTAGGCCGTTTGGCCAACTGTTTCTGGTTGCTTGTCGATGATAAAAGGCAACTGAATTTAAGTTTGTATTCCCTGAAGAGTATAATGTTTTTCGCAAATGTGTGCAACAAGCAGAAGGAGACCTAGCCTAGCCACAGGGAATATTCTATATGGCTTTAATCAAAATCACGAACCGAGGCGATGTTGACCGGTCTGTCAGTCACTCCTTGGAAATTAAGTTTGTCTTAAAAAATCGATAATTTTTCCTGCTTGAAGTCTTAGAGGTATTTGAATAGAATTTATACTATACTACCATACTTTATGGCTTTAATCAAGAATAAGAGGCGAGGCGATGTCCACAGATCTACAACTTTTCCTGCTTGAGGTCTTAGGAGTCTTTGCTCTATACATGTCTGTATTTCTTTAAGGTTTTTGCTATTATTACTTACTATTCAATGTTCGCCTGTTAGTATCAAGGTAGGACCTTAATGTTAACTAAGATGGCTAGCATGTGAGTCAGTGGCGCAAAGTCTGGGTCTGAAGGGACTTTACTCCAATTAATAATGCATTTAAGGCGACAATTGAGATGTCCGTTGGGCGGCACATGAATATGACATGAAGATGTCGTCAAGGAGAGTAAATCAAAGTATTTGCCTGCAACGGGCACACATACATGTATGTACATGTATGTATGTGTGCAGCAGGGTGGCATATGTGAGCATTAGCAATGTCCAAACGTAAGTCCCTCATACAGTTTGTCAGTTGCTTTGAAAAGCAGATGCCCGAGGCTCAAGGCTTCTCACTTTTGAAAGCCCCACAATACGTCAGACTGGACACAGGAACAATTTGTCATCACAGAGCGGGAGCTGTACCAACTAGCTCAACTGGCTTAGCAGGCGTTGAAAGCCAGCGCCTAAAGCTGTAAAATGCAAATTTTTGGCTGTTGTTCCGATTAGCATAGAACATCCCATGATACAAGCACACCCATGCACATCTATGTATGTAGACCAAGCATACATATATAAGACTGGCTACATTTAATATTTCACTGAATGTGCCCAGCCCACTAATGGAAAAATGACGCAACTTTGCCATGCAGACTCCTTTGCTTCAGACAATGATTTTCCTTTTGTCAACAGTCCAAGTCCTCCCCAGCACCTGCTTTGCTTATGACTATCGATATGAAGGTTCCTGCAGCAAACATGTAACAAATAAAAGATGCGTCAACATGGTAAACCAAACCATTTATCACTGATTACAAACTAATATTTTAGGTAAACAATCCAAAAAGCCCAAAGACTATTTTCATTTTTTCGGTCACGATAAGGGAAAATAATTCGAGATTTAACAGACTATTCCCTAGAAATCAAAGCTATGTTACAATACAATACCATTATGTGATGCGCATATAGTTCAAAATTAGAATACTAGATTGAATACACAATTTTTCCACATCGTCATTTACCCATTGAATTCAGAGCCATTGGGCTCCAGTCATGGAGCACATAGCCTTCATTTGAAATGGCCAAGTATTCACAACGTGTTGTTCCTCAGGTACGCCTTCATATTTGTCGCCAACGACCATACCACGCTGTTAGTACTTAGATAGGGGAGGTGCCTTCAATCAATACGGAATATGATTGGGGACAGATCGACATTATCAATAGTCAGTAAAACATTCAAGAGCTAATTAATGCGTATATTGTTCTTTATAGGTTAGTGTTGAACAAAGTACATTCCCTTCTTCTCATCTACAGCCTGTTAACGTCGCCTATTACTTCGAAGCAGATGTATGTGTCACGCTGCACATTGTTGGAGTCAAAGGCTTTTATGATGGTAGTAAACTTGTAGCGGCCATTTATGGGCATTCCATTGGATTCCATTGTCACGTTTACGTCAAAAGGCTCGTGAATCAATACAGTCTATTTGAAATGATCATTAATTGGGGAAAAGCAAAGTCGTAGTATACCTACTCCTGGGTAAAACATTGTTTGTCTGATTTCTTCCCTATTCATTATATGCCTTGTCCAATACTTGTAAAAGTCAAGATTCCTGTCGAACAGGGCTGGCACAAAGTCGCGGATTTTCATGCTGTATGGTGTTTGCTGCCACATTCCACGATCATATTTAACAGATGAAAAAGAGGCCTAAAATAAAGAAAATATTAATTATGGTTTTCAATCATATGTATATCATAAGAGCAAAAAGTACTTGAATGCGATCCCCAACTTCAATCATCCAGGTGTAAGTAACATTTCCCGAAACTAATATGACATCATCATGTATCGTAAATGTCATATGTGACATATCGGCGGCTTGGTTCACATTGAGAACATTACTTTCTGAATTTGGACAATCTTGAAAGAAATCCTCGTTTTCAGGAACGAATATATACTTTAGAGCACTCGAGCAGATTGCCAATAAAATCACGATACACAGTGGGTAGAGAAACTTCATTTTCACCCACATCGTTTGCTTTCAGCTTCGCAATGATATTTATGCAGTACGGTTTGGCACTTTTATACCACAAATTTAATTGCATATGACGTTCGAATCATTCGATGGCAATCACACATTTTTGTCAGATCGCACCTAATAATAAGGAGATGGGCCTGTTACTAAACATTAAACATACTATTTATATCTAGCAAATCTAGCTGAAGCTCACATTTCCGTTGTAATGTCAAGTGATTTATCACGCGATGCTAATGGCGCAATCGCGCGCAGAATATGTTTCATTTTTAATCACACGATTCGAATCTTTGCAATGTTTTCCATTCCATTTCATTGCAGATTCACAAGGTCGGGCACATGACTACATTTCCTGATACTGCGGAGTCCCCAACACCCCTTTTATACTGAACGAGATTTATCAGGATTTTTACAAATGAATGTTCAGAGATAATTATTAATCTTGATATGACCTTAAAAATAACTCACCATTAAAAGCTTTCTAGCTCTCAGCTCGAAATCAGATCTGTTATATCTTAGCGTTTTAGAGATACCAGATTAAGTATTAGCAGGATCTTAACAGTTTATTAGTTGACAGTCTTAACAAGTAAATACTTAGAATATCAAGTCTCTAGAGCTCAGTTCGTTGATGAGTATAAAAATGATCAAAATTTTTTAGTTTCATGGATTTTGTGGATTTATTGGATTTATTAAATATATATGTATGTAGCTTAGATGGTGTGGCGACCTCAGATTTCAAGTATTCTGAGTCGCCTCGTCTCAAACACAATAACTAATTCAATTTCAAAACAAGTTAGAAAGCTCTAGTCAATACTACATCCAATCACGCATAAACACGTATGGGCTGCTGTGTGGTCCTACTACAGGTACTTAATTTGTTGTTGTTTGTTAACTTTTCTTGTCGATGAACTCTCGTTATGAAACTTTGAGATCGTGACTAAAACATTGAAATGCATTCATTTGGATATAGAGGTGGGAGGTAAATTTTAACAAAAATCGAAATTGTATGAAATGCATCTAAATACAATATATATTTAAAGTGTGGAGACTCTAGCTTGAAAGATGTAGGAGATATCATTTTAAAACTTATTTTCGATAAGGTTTTTAATTGATAACAAAATAACGGGATGAGTTATCGTTTTTTGAAGATAAACTCGACATGCGCGCTATATATACGCACTTTTTCAAAAAAATTGAAGTCTCTAGTCTCTACATACGGACAGACGAACGGACAGACAGACGGACAAGGCCAAATCGACTTAGCTCGTCGCCGTGATCAAGAATATATATACTTTGTGGTGTCTGCCACGCCTCTCCTTCTGCCTGTTACATACATTTCAAGAAAACCATTATACCCTGATTTCCCATTGAAAATGGGTTTAGGGTATAAAAATGTTCGCCATTTCTTTTACTTGTATTTCTGATTCTGCATCAGCATTCCTCTTAACTGAAAAGATATAGTAGCTATGGTTTATAATATGTCGTCTTATACCATTTTATATATGAATAAAATTGAATCTGTCTGAAGGAGTCTCGATTTGTTTTATTGCATTGCAATGAAACGAAACATACAATGAGCCGACATTTTGGTTCTTATTTAACTTTCGCAGATGTGAAAAGAATGAAATTCAGGTATTCACGTAAAGGCTGAATGACAAATATTGAATGGCTTTGCATTGGGTCTTTGTTGTCTCGGCTGATCGCCGCCGTGGAACATACGTCCGACTCCCGCCCGGCGTATAGGGTAAGGCTACGTTAGTCTGACAGTTTACTAATGAATTTTTAAGCTCTGACCAGCTCGAAAATTCAATTACCTGGATTTGCTTTATGAACGCGACTAGCATTTCATATGCCCTAAGGTCAAACATCTGCCCAGGCCAAAGGTCACGCCACTCCACTATTATAATGAAAACGGACAAGTGACAGTAAACGAGCTGAATTGAAAGGACAGCAGGCAACAATGGCTGCCAGAGCATTGTATTTCACACCTCTCTGCACATAATAATGTGATTCGCAAAGCGCTATTTTTCTTGCCAATATTCAAGTGAAACTATATTGAGCCCATCTAAGAAACTTCGGCCTAGCATGGTCCTCATCTTTACTCACACTTTGTGACACAAAAGGCAACATCGATAGAAACTCATCGAAGAAAACTAAAGTCAATGAACTAAATTCGAGATATGTCAGACTGGCAACAAAAACTGGCAATTGCAGCCATATTTAAGGAATTAAAAAAAAAACTTGTGAATTTATATAAATGATATGAATATTTTTGAAATTTTAAGTACAAGTAAGTTAGGTGTGTAAATAGGTTAGAATATATTTTATGCTTTCTAAAAATATTGCTCTACTAGGAGCTAGAGACTTGAAATTTGAAACATATACTTGTGTATACTTTATAAGTATTACAGTTATCGGGAAAATTGCAACTTTTATAGAAGCGTGGAAATCGGAAAATGCAGTTTCCGGTATCCTAGATATCGATTTAGTTGAAAAGCAGGAAATTGGAAATTTTGAACGTAGATTCGCGTTGATCACCCAAGATCAAAAAGCTATGACAGATATATCTACGCCCATAGCAGGCGTGAAAAAATCGGGTACACCTGAATATTCTAGAGTTTTCAAGCTATTGATGCGATACTTGAGACTTGAGATTGCGTATATACATATATATACTCGGTTTCACCACCCAAGACTAAAAGGCTCTGGGGGATATATCCCCGCCCACAGAGGGGCGAGGCAGACCACTAAAATTTAAGAGCTAGAAGCTTCACTAAGAATAATTGAGATACTAAATAATAACCCACCCTATCGATGACCCAAATATAAATGTAATATTCACATTTTTAAAGCGAAAAAAACTGTCAAAAAATTATAAATCTAAAAGCAGTGGAGGCGTGGCAATTCAGGTAAGCTACATTTTCGACGGCACTCGAGCTAGAAAGTCAAAACTAAACGAATAAAGTGCTCAAAGCTACCTAAAGCTACTTAAATTTCACTAAACGAATATATATGTTAATATAAATGTCGGGCGTGTCCAAAATTTTGTTAGACAAATGAGATAACGATATTTGAAGTAGAGAACTATGAAACTGGCGTAATGGCGTAAAAAGTAAAAAAGTGTTTTGGACGATGCCAACAACACGCGGTGTTCCCAAGCGGTCCCCCATCTAAGTACTAACCGCGCCCGACGCTGCTTAATTTCGGTGATCGGACGAGAACCGATGTACTCAGCGTGGTATGGTCGTTGGCGACATATATATGGTTAGCGAACAAACATGAAGGCGTAACTGAGGAACAACACGTTGTGAATCCTTGGCCATTTCAAATGAAGGCTGTGTGCTCCATGACTGGAGCTCAATGGCCAGCCAGAGCTAAGCAACAACCACGAGGCGAAATCTCTTAAATGGGTGTGATGTGGTGGGAAAATGGAGCAAAATTAGCAATTGGAATATTTATTGACATTTGATACGTAAATGCAATAAATATTTATATATGTTTATATGCAGACACAATTTTACAAATTTGTAAAATAAGAGAACGATATTTGAAGTAGAGAACTATGAAACTGGCGTAATGGCGTAAAAAGTAAAAAAGTGTTTTGGACGATGCCAACAACACGCGGTGTTCCCAAGCGGTCCCTCATCTAAGTACTAACCGCGCCCGACGCTGCTTAATTTCGGTGATCGGACGAGAACCGATGTACTCAGCGTGGTATGGTCGTTGGCGACATATATATGGTTAGCGAACAAACATGAAGGCGTAACTGAGGAACAACACGTTGTGAATCCTTGGCCATTTCAAATGAAGGCTGTGTGCTCCATGACTGGAGCTCAATGGCCAGCAAGAGCTAAGCAACAACCACGAGGCGAAATCTCGTAAATGGGTATGATGTGGTGGGAAAATGGAGCAAAATTAGCAATTGGAATATTTATTGACATTTGATACGTAAATGCAATAAATATTTATATATGTTTATATGCAGACACAATTTTACAAATTTGTAAAATAAGAGAACGATATTTGAAGTAGAGAACTATGTAATGGTGTAAAAAGTAAAAAAGTGTTTCGGACGATGCCAACAACACGCGGTGTTCCCAAGCGGTCCCTCATCTAAGTACTAACCGCGCCCGACGCTGCTTAATTTCGGTGATCGGACGAGAACCGATGTACTCAGCGTGGTATGGTCGTTGGCGACATATATATGGTTAGCGAACAAACATGAAGGCGTAACTGAGGAACAACACGTTGTGAATCCTTGGCCATTTCAAATGAAGGCTGTGTGCTCCATGACTGGAGCTCAATGGCCAGCAAGAGCTAAGCAACAACCACGAGGCGAAATCTCGTAAATGGGTATGATGTGGTGGGAAAATGGAGCAAAATTAGCAATTGGAATATTTATTGACATTTGATACGTAAATGCAATAAATATTTATATATGTTTATATGCAGACACAATTTTACAAATTTGTAAAATAAGAGAACGATATTTGAAGTAGAGAACTATGAAACTGGCGTAATGGCGTAAAAAGTAAAAAAGTGTTTTGGACGATGCCAACAACACGCGGTGTTCCCAAGCGGTCCCCCATCTAAGTACTAACCGCGCCCGACGCTGCTTAATTTCGGTGATCGGACGAGAACCGATGTACTCAGCGTGGTATGGTCGTTGGCGACA